CTACCCTAAAATTTAGGCCTGCTAGATGCATTAAAATTAAAATTAGCAAGAGATCCTTTACACAACAAAATACAGAAACAAGTATATAATATAAAAAATGTGGAAAACCATTTAACTTACATGTAAATATAAAAATGAAAATACAAATCTGTGACAATCCTGAACTAAATCCAGGCTCTCGAAATTACCACCCATAAACTATTTGTCTATTGGTTAAGCCGGTCTTGTGAGAAATTTATGAAAATTTGGAATTCACGAAAGCTTTCAAATGCTTATCCATTTTTGTAAAAAATTGTGCAGTATGATAAAAACTCAAAAAAAAATGTAAACGACGACCTGAACATACACATTGAATTTTTCTTTAGAAATATTCAGTAAGTGAAACACACAAACTTTTGTCAGGACTTTGTTTTTCCATAAATTCATATTTTGCTTTGAATCCAGCATTTACTCCTTCAGAATTCGATACAAATAGTAATTTTAATGAAACAGCATTATCTTCTGAAAGCTGTGGACCAGGAAGGATTTCACCGCAGTAGATGCCAGTCAGCCTGTCTAACTGTGGATCAATATATTCTAGTAAAAATGAAGGCAATTTTTTGGCGTATACTGAGGATTTTTCGGGAAAAGGCAACAAATCTTTATTTGCTTTGTTATAAACGTTGAAAACTTGAATAAAATCTGTTGTGCATCTAAATATTATAAATAAAAATAAGATAGTAATATACAGTTAATCGCAGTTCAATACAAAATCACTTTTGATTTCTCACCATATTTCGGTGTAGTGTAGATTTTTTAAACAAAAACTAGCTAAACGAAAAAAATTTGTTGTTAAATACTATAACGAAAACGAAAAAAATTAAACAAAAATAAAATAGAAACGAAAAAATTTAAACGAAAACTGAAAACTAAGCGAAAAAATTTAATTCAAATAAAATTTCACATAGAATTTTTAAATTTTAATAAAATTTAGGATTTGCTGTCTTTGTTTCAACTTCATTGTTCAATATCTAATTTCCGACTTACTTTTTGAATCGTTTGTTGGTCATGTCATTGAGCAATCGTAATTTTTTTGAGTTGATTCATTGTTGTAATAATTAATTTGTAATTCAATTCACTTAAGAATGAGTAACCTTTTCTTAAGCCTCTCTAACACTCCTTTGTCTCTGACGAAAGTAGTACGGCGGCGAATTTTTTACTTTAATCTTATGGCTAATAATAACAATAAAAACAATGAATCTAACTCTAGCAAAAAAATAAATATAGTTAGTAACAATAATTATATTAATAATAATAATAGTAATTGCAAGTATAATAACTTTATTAAATCTCACTTTAATGTAATTAATACTAACGATAAGAATGATAATTCTATTAATTTAAATAATATAACTAGTTTTAAAAATACCAATATCCAACTTACCTCTTCATTTTCGCTATTTAATATTAACATAAGATCAATTAATAAAAAATCGCTCTATATTCATCAAATAATCTCTTCCTCCTTACCTGATTTTTTTAGTCTTACTGGAACTTGGCACGAGGACTCTAACTCTCCCTCTCTTATTTTTTATACTCCTGATGGTTACAGCTCTCATGAACTTTCTAAACCTCCAAAAAATTCTCTATCATCTTCTTATTCTTCTTATGAGGGTATCTGTCTATTTTATAAATCTCTATTTACTGCTTCCATTAATACTTCCTTTAATTTTTCTTCTTTTGAATGTCTTGTTGTATCTCTTAATTTTCTTCTCTATCTTTTTATATTGCTGTAATCTATCGCCCTCCTTCTTCTTTTCTCACTTTATTTTTAGATGAATTCTACTCACTCGCTGAATCTCTCTACTCTTTGTCTATTCCTTTCTATATCTCTGGTGACTTCAACTTACACTTCAATAACTTATCATGTTCTTACACTCGTAGATTTAATGATATTTTGTCTCTTTTTAACTTAACACAATGTTGTTCTTTTCCTACCCATACTTCTGGCAACACTATTGATTTTATTATAGCTTCATCTTTTTCTAAGCCTATTAATATCTCTGCTAGCTCTGTTCCTTATTCTGATCACCTCCTTATTGAATCTGTATTTTCTTTGAATTTCCTTCTTTCTAATTCATCTATGTCTATTTTAAAAAGATGCCGGTTTTCTCTTAATAAAGATATTTTTCTTCAATCTCTTACTGAAATTATTTTTGATACTACCTTATTTTTTGATGTTGATGATTTTGTCTATGCTTTTAATATCTACATTACTTCTATTCTTGATAAGCTTATTCTTGTTAAATCTTTTATTTATAGGCTCTATTCTCGTAAGGCTTCTTGGTACGATTATGCTTGTGTAGTAGCCAAGAAAAGTGTTAGAAGACTGGAGAAAGCCTTTAGGTTAAATCCATCTAACTCTCTTTATTCTATCTATGAATCAAAATTGATTAATTATAAATATCTACTATTCTCTAAACACTCTACTTTTCTTAAAAATTCTATAACATCTGCTTCAACATCTAAAAATAGGTGATCTGCTCTATCTAAACTTCTTCAAGAGAAATCTTCTCACTCGTCTTTTTCTGCTCAACAGTTTTATGACTTTTTGTAAATAAAATTACTTTTTTAAGAACATCTAATTATAATTTTTCTTCTCTAAACTTTATTAAACCTACTATTAAATTTTTTTTTGTATTTACTCCAATAAATCTTCTAGAACTTACTAAAATTATTAATTCTATGTCATCTACAACCTGTTCTCTAGATCTACTTCCTTCTAATTTACTTAAAGAATTTTCTTCAATATTTTATCTAATCATTCTAAAATTAGTTAATTTATCTTTTTCCACGTCCAAATTTTCTACTTATTTTTTCAGCAATGCAAAGGACAAATGTATGCAAATATGGCAGTTGTTGTGTCGACCGATGCTGCTTACAGTGGCTAGCTGAGCCTGCACACAGTCAATTTTTATGAAAATCCTCGGATTAAATCTTATTCAATAAGCATTTTCATTCTAAAATTTGCTGATTCATTTTTTTAAATATTCCATTTAGAATGTTTATAATTTTATAATTGAAATGTGTTCTTCCTTTTCACATTTTTGTCATCAATTGAGAAATATTTTAATATTAAACAGATAATAATTTGAAGGAATGTTGCTTAGTTTTTAATATTTTTATCATTGGTTTCTTATTTATTTATATAGGAACCAAAGTTTTTAACTAATCTTCTATTCATTTTTTATACAGAAAAAGCTTTTTTGGTAACCTTTTACTATTTTCAACGTGTTATGTTATCAAACAATGGTTGTATGAACGAGGCAGAAAATTTTATATATGACAAGATGACGTTTTAAAAATGATTTATAACGAGTTGTATAATTATTAATTGAAATGAGGTTAAATGCTTTTGTGTTTTCATAGAACTCTTCCTACTCATATTTTAACCAACAAGTTAAATAATAATGGTATTAACCACAATCTTTTTGATGGAAACACTCTTTTATTGTCGCATAAAATAAAATAAACTAAAAGTTATTTTTAAATGAATAAAGGAAGCTATTATAAAATATAATATAATTAAAATTTATATATAAAATGTACGATCCTCCCATACTCATTGCCGAGGACAAATGCATGGGAGTAAAAAGAGAATATTTAAAATTATATTTATTTATTGTTTTAGAGATAAATTAAAATATTGATAAAACCCGATAGTCGATATTTTAAAAGAGTTTATAATAAATTAACAAATTTTGCGTTTAAATTTGAATGAGCTTTCAGATTCTTGTATTTCTGACGCTTGTGCACTCATAAAGAAGTTTGGTTGGTTTAGCGACAGTTTGTTAATTCTAGGATTTCTATTCTATTGTTATGAAAAATGGTGTTTGCCAAATTTAAAACGTAAAAACTTAAAATTATAAAAATAATTAATTTAAAATGAAAACTTGTGGTAAAACCTATATTAAAACATACCGCCATTATTCTCGCTCAACTAATTTTGAATATGTTAAAACCGAAATAATAATAATATATTCTACAGAATCAATCAATCAGACGTTATTTGACAGTTGAGTCAACAAATAAATACATTCGTTTGTAGATTTATTCGTATGAGAATTGATTACTACAATGCGATTATGTTCGGTGTCAACTTATCCTTTCGTGATCATTTGCAGTCTGTTTTGAACACCGCAGCCGGTTATTCAAAATTCGATTCAATACAATCATACATCATGAATGATCTACACTAGTTCCGCATGCCAGAAAGAATCGTTTCACAATTATTTCTGGTTTCAGACCTGCTCACAGTACTGAAACTTCTTTACTCAAAATACACAATGATATCCTTCTCTCTAGTGACAATAGTAATCTTACTCTTCTTGCTCTTCACTTTTCTTCTGCTTTTGATACTGTTGATCATACTATTCTCTTGAGACTGCTACATCTTTCATTTAATATTACTGATTCTTGTCTATCTTGATTTTCTTCTTATCTCTGTAATCGTTTTACTTCTGTTGTTTTCAATAATTCTACTTCTAACTCCTCTACTCTTACTTTCGGGGTACCTCAGGGTTCTATCCTTGGCCCTCTTCTATTTATACTCTATACTTCTAAACTACCTCGTATTATTAATAACTTTATTTTTTCTAGTCAACTATATGCTGATGATTCTTACATTTATTCTTCTTTTGAATTAATTTGTTTTAATAAATCTAAACACTTTATTACTATTCCTCCTATTATCTTACCTTATTCTAAAACTCTTGATGTCTCTCACAAGTTTCGTAATCTAAGTTTTATCTTTGATTCTACTATGTCTCTTTCTTCTCAGATTAATAGTGTCGCTAGAAGCTCTTATTTTCATCTACGTAAAATAAAAAAACTTTAGCCTTTTCTTGATGATCTTACTCTTCTCCTTCTTGTTACTTCGTTAGTCTTATCTAGGATTGATTATTGTAACTCGCTCTACTATGGTCTTCCTGATTCTAAATTCTATCCTCTAAGTAAAGCTTTTAACTCTGCTGCTCGTCTAGTTGCTCATGCCCCTTTCTTTTCTCATATATCTCCATACCTTGTTCTCTTGCACTGGTTACCTATAAAATATAGAATAATTTTTAAAATTTGCACGTTTGTGTAAAGGTCTCAATCTAAATGTTGTCTCGCTTGTTCTCGCTTTTTCTTAACTCGTGTTAAACACTCTTTTGCCAAATCTGCTTTTGCTTTTTCTGGTCCTTTTCTCTGGAACTCTCTACCTACTTCTCTGACTACTTCTCCATCACTTGCGAAGTTCAGAGCGGATTTCAAGACCCATCTGTTTTCAAAATTCATTGAGGAGCGCTGTTGAACATCGCGGAAATAGCGCTTTACAACCTAATTGACTGATTGATTGATTAATTGATTGATTAATTGATTGATTGATTGAAACCATTCTAAAAAGTATCAAAAATTGTTGAACAAGGAAAATAAGCAACAAGAAAATGTTGTCAGAGAAGAAATATGAAAAACTAATTCGTGCGTAACATTAAAGTCATTTAAAGAAACTTATTATATCTGCATCTCTTTTCAGTTATAAATAAAAAAGCTAGACTAGAATGCATGTAGTTGAACTTGCATACTATCAAACACCCACATGCTAGATCAGCTGTCGCCAATCTTTTAAGCCAAACATTAGTACCAGCTGCAGCTACTCTAAATCTTATGTGGATCAACATATTAGGTGATGAAAAAGGCAACTTTTACAAGCTTGCAAAAAATAAATTAAAAAAAGAATTGAATTCTACAAATATAGATTTAATTTTAGAAAGAAATGAAAATATTATGGAACCATAAACAAAAACAAAAAAATATCAATTTTTTGTGAAAAATTAGATTGTCAAAAAGATACATTGAATGCAGCTAAATCAAAACTTAAGCTGACTCGATAATTAAATATGACGTTTATCTATGATAGTCTTGACACAAAAAATGGAATCATAAATTATTTGATAGATGAACTTTAAGCTTTGTATTTACATGTCTAAAATTGTTCTGTTATATATATTATGTAGGTACTATCTTCCTTGAATTATGTATATATGTTAGTCATAAAAAGTTAAAATTTTGTGTTGGTGTTAATAACTATTAAAAAAACTATTTAAAAAACTAAAAAATTTGAAACGAAATAATTACCAAAACTAAAAAAATTAGAAACTAAAATGATTTAAAAAAAATTAAAAAAATTTATAAAACAAACTAAAACTAGAAACTAAAAAATTTCTGAAACGAAATCTACACTTTTCGGTGGTTAAAAAAATCCTACTTTGTGTCGTTTTCGAGCTTAAATGTTTCAAATGTGATTCTGATTTGTTCAGCTTTTGCACTGATGAATTCGTAAATGCAAGCAGAATCGTCTGGATAGTTGCTGGGGTGTCGAGGCGAGTTGAATGCTCCCTGATTTGAGGATGTGCTTTTATATATAAAGTGGCATTTTAAACCATCTGTTGCTGGCGTTCCAGGTATCGCAAAATCTAAAACATTAAAATATTTTTTGTTATTGCATCACCAATTTTTTTTTATTAAATTTGCATTTTAAGCTTACCAGTTAAAAATTGAATTTTGGCTTTAAATCCTTTGCCAGCATAATTAGCGTCAATTGTGTCAAATGTAAGAAGAAGTCTAGGATTAGAGCTTGTTAGAGGCGATGGAGTCGTAGTGCCACACAAAATGTCATCAGGTTTATCAATTTGTCCTTTTAAATAAACTTTTAAATGGCCGTTATTACATCTGAAAACAACCAATAAGAAAGGGATTTTGATGTAGATATATATTTCTAATCTGAACAGTTTTTATGTTTGTATGTATTGTATGTGTATTAATCTGTGACTTGTTTTACTTGTCGAACCGGTAGATACTTGGCAAAATATTTTTGCAAGACGGTTTAAAACAAGGATGAACAAGCGGTCAATTAAAAAACGCAGGTTAAAAAGCAATGAGTTTTTCACAAAAAGAAATAAGACAAAAAACTTTCATCTCCAAATGTTCAAGTCTTTAAAACTAACCAAAGTCTAGTGGAAGACCTAAGAGAATGACTATGTCAGTAAGCCAACATGTCAAAACAAATTTTAAATAGACAGGACAGAGACTAATAACACATCTGATGGCTAACACTACAAGCTTATATTAAATTCTCTGCTCAACAGGAAACCAATAAAAAAATTTCAGGCTCTCAGAAATGTGATCAAACTTCATAAGACCATATTTAGCGGCAGAAATTTTAACAAATTGTAAACAATTAAGCACATCCAAATTAACAATATTAAAAAATTGAACTAGCTCAACCGAGATGAAATAAAAGCTATAACCAGACATCGAATACCTTCTTATCAGTTTCAGATTCCAAGATTAAAAAAAGATGATTTAATAATATGAGCACTAACAGATTTTTAAAATGATAACATTTTCAATAATAACCCCCAAATTCATAACAGCAAAAGATTTTTCTATGTCACAATGATGCCCTAGAACCAATTGAGATTTTGACAAAAAATTTATGCATTCAATGTAAACAAGAGTTTTTGAAAACACATCATCAACTTCAGACATAGAACCAGTATAAAAGTCTGAATAACGTCAGCATACATCTGAATCGGAATATCTAAAGATTCAGTAAAAGACAACAAATGAGAAACTTACTACAAAAACAAAAAATTTCAAAACACGGAATCATGTGAATCACCATAGAAAAGAGGAATATCAGCAGACATTACATTACTAAAGCAAATCTTAAGCGACTTAAATGACAAATATTCTTTGATCGTTTATGTGCATATTTTGAACATACATTATTGCTAATGCCATGTTAAAATTATTTTTATCTTTTAAAATTATTTGCTAACAAAATGGAATAATTAGATGTTTCTTAAAATAATAATAATATAATAATAATAATAATGTCATTTATGAACGCCCAATGCATAGCGTCAGAGGCGCTCGGATAAACAAATGCTGCTTCAATCGTTTTTTAAACGTTTCTATTGATGATTGTTGACGAATGATAAGTGGCAAACTGTTCCATATTGATGGTGAGCAATGTGAGAAGCCTTCATTGATGAAGGTGATAGCGATGATCAACAGATGAGCGAAGGCGAATGAGTTTGTGAAGATATGAAAGATTATTTTATCTAATTGTTACCACTATATGATTAAATTTTTGCTTCATGATAACATTTAACATATTTGAAAAAGTCAATTTTGGTTATTAGAACAACTCTGGCCAAGTACTTAAGTGGCTTCTACTGTAATTACTTTTGTTGTTGTTTATCTACTTTTTATATATCCTTAACAGTAGAATAGCTATGAGTAGTAGATCAGTTGTTTAACCGTGGATTTATGAAGATAGATTTAAAAAAGTCGGGAGCCAGTTGTGAGCACAATTGTTATTCAAATTCAGTTTTTACCCACGAAAACACTATTTTATGTAGAAAATTTACAAAAGATTACGCGATAACCAAAAATAGGTCATTAGCTTAATGCCTAATTTTTGCCACACCAGCAAAAATCTTTGCAGTTTTTGGCAACCCCATCAATTTTCAAAATTTGGCTTCCCCGTCAACGTTTCTAGACTCGCCTCTAACACGAACAGATAAAAAGCTTGGTTTTTGACATTTGGTATTTGTTTTGTCAACTGACACGACGGAATTTCACAATAAAACTTAATCATTAATTCAAACTCTTGCCAAAAATTTCGTTTTTCGCCTAAAAATATTTTTTGAGGAAAAATATTTATCCAATAATTAAAAAAATATTTTTAAAGAAACGATTTGCATGCATTCAAGTAGAATTAGTTTAATCCGATAAAAATAACCTAACCCATCTCTAACTTTTGGAATGTTTGGAATGAAAATTAAAAATATTTATCCAATAATTATAAAAATATTTTTAAAGAAACGATTTGCATGCATTCAAGTAGAATTAGTTTAATCCGATAAAAATAACCTAACCCATCTCTAACTTTTGGAATGTTTAGATAATCGAATTCGATTTTAGCTTTTTCCAAATTTTGTTTATCTTCAAGCCCATCAATATAATAATTGCATCTGATTTTTAATGGAAAATTGTATGGAAAGTTTGGACTCTTGATGACCCCATTTGACTCTTTTGTGCTTAAAACCATTTGATCACATTCTGAAATGTCAGAAATTCTTGTAAATTAAAATCATTAACATATTATAAGAATCAACTTTAAAATAATATACTCGGTTTCATACAAAGTAGTCATACCTGTACCTCGGACGTGATAACCATCTTCAATAAAAGCTAAAAAAACAAAATAATCATTATAAACTTTATTATTAATACATTTGTAGACGTCGAAATTAAATCAAATTTAACTAGTTGCATTTTACAAATTTTTTAAACCACGATTAATATTTTCGAAGATATCGAATTTTGGAAATTGAGTTTTAGGGTGTCGAAGTCTGATGAAAAATATTGGAATCATCCCCCTCAAAAAATTTTGACTTCTGGTAAAAATTTCCAACTCGACTCTAGACTCTGAATGTTTGGCACTATAATTTTGCTAAATATCATTATAAAATGAAAGACACTTTTAAAAACACTTAAAGTCAATCAATTTAATTGTTTTTCTTAGTAAGATAACTTCATATTTATGTTTAAAAAAAACTGAAAACAAAATTATGTTAGCATTTATTTTAGACGTTAAAGACGATTGCATATCGATAACATACATATTATTATTTTTTAAAACACGATCTTAAAAAATATTTTTGGAATACAAATTTTTAAAATTTATATTAAAATTAACCGACTCCGGCCCCTCAAAAAATTCCGACTTCGGCAAAAATCTCCAACTCGACACTATTTTACTTAGGCATGACTTCATAAATATTTTTATATAAATATGTGCGCGGCTAGTTACATTTAATTAAGGTTTTGTTAAGAATTCTTTCTGGCTTTTTGAATAGATAATTTCGGCATTTTATTTTTATTTTAAAATTTTATTTGCTAATATTTATTCATGTTAATTTAAATAGATCGCAGAAATTATTCATAGGCAAAACCTAATTTGTTTGAATGTTTCACCTAAAAAATGTTAACTTTTTTATAAATTGTGTCACTGAAATAAATTTTGTTATTATTAAAAATAACCGAGATCAACGAACGCCCCGGAAATTTCATAGAAAGCCTTGAAGCCTCTCCTTTGCACAATAACGTCATCTGATTTGCTGCTTTCCCACGGATGTAAGTATGTTCGCTTTGTTGATTCCAATCGACCACTTTTTGTAGAAAATTCAATGTAGAGGTTGCTCGATGACGAGAAGAGGGTTACATTGTTTCGATGGCCACAGAAGGTATTGATGATTTCGCTGTTGTTCGTTGGTCCATCATAGATGAGGATGTAGTCATATGGACAACTAAAAGGCCGTTTTCGGTTTTTTAGTTTATCATTTTAATCAATAAATAAAGTAAAAGTATAAAATTAAAAAAATTTAAACTAAAAGTGACATTTTTCAGCTGAAACAACGCGTACAAAAGAACAAGATAAAGCGGTTTCCATCATCATTTTCAGGTGTAAATTTATAAACAGTAAATATTCATATGGAGAGTATTAATTCAATGTGTCTGACTAACTGGTCGCCTCCACTGTACAGATCTATCTCTAAAAATGTTAATTTTATGCGTTGTCTTTGTATGCCAGCAAGGTGGTAGAAACAAAATACATTGTCTGGATAAACACCGGGATATGTCGGTGAATAAATAAATCCCGAAGGTTTTGATGTCCCGTAAATGGTCTGTCCACATTGATTAAAAGGAGCGGGTGTTCCAACCAAATAAAGGGCTGAATAAATTTGAAAAATAAAATAATTTTGTTCAATTTTATATTGAAAAATTTGCACCTATTTATCCATATTACAAAGATGAAATAATCACTATGTTTTATGAATGTGAATGTCAATTTCTAAAATTTTTTATTTGGAATGTGTTGAAAAACTAGCTAACAATCATCGATGAAAGAGTATTCAGCCAGAAAGCCTTTCTCTTCTTTTATGTGATCGGTATAAAAACCGATGATGAGAGCATTATGCATAGATATGAGAATATTCGGTAACAAGTCCAATCCTGAACCGCAAAATCTTCCATGCAAAGGAATGTCAAGAAGGTCTTGAAAGGGTTTTTCGACTTGCGTATATATATCGATGTAATCTTGAAGACAACTTTGAATCAAATTTTGTTTCATGATTTATTATTTGCTATAATAAAAATACGTTTGGGAAGTTTGTTGAAATTGAACTTCTCGACATAATGAATTTTTTAAAACATTTAAAATCGCATCAGACTTGTTAAATTTAATAAACAAAATTGACAGAAAAATATGTATTAAGAAATTTTATCAATTAGATTACGTCTAGTTATAACTTTGAACCAGATTTATAGTTTAATGACTTGAAAAAATATTTTATAAGTTAATTTACCTTGGTGGAACTCCTTTAACTTCAAACTCTTTAAATTCAATTCTCACTCTTTCCGTTGGTAAGCCAATGAATCTGTAAATACATCGAAGATTTGGAAAATAAGGAAATGGAAAATTTGGTGAAGATATAGTTCCGTTTTTAGAAGATGTTATGGACAGAGAACTGTTGACTGTAACGTCGCAATCTTCTAAAAAAATATTTAATAAATTTAAAATCTGTACGTATACTACAGTTAATTAGTATTATTAAACCAGGAAATATTTATCATCCAAATGCGTTAAAAGAGGTATAACATGAAATCACTTTGAAATTTAAAAAATTCAAAATTTTTTATTTCAAAATTTTGTTATTAAAATGATTCTAATAAAATCGTACATTAAAAACCCATGCAACGCATTTATTTGTAATTATTTGACACGATAAAAACAGTATTTAATCCCAACTCATCACCAAGATTAACTGACTAGATATTTGCAGATTTGCTACTAATAACTTTTCTTATATAATTGTGTAAAAATGAATGATAAGCATCACTGGAGAGTGAAGGCCCGGGCACTTGTCTCCTTCGGTACATCACTGTTACAATCTCGTGTTCTTCTTTTACCCACAAGTTATTTAATTGTATTTTAAACGAACATTAAGTTTATTTTAGTTTGTTGGTCTCTTTGTTTGTTTATTATCAATACATTTTATGTTAAAAAATTGTTGTGTTATTGTTTATTTTATTTAAATTAATTCAGTCCTAAATTTCGTTGGAACACCCACTTTTTTTAATGTGGACAGGCTATTTACGGAACAACAAAACCTTCGGGGCCTTCAACGACCTATTCCGGTGTTAATCCGGACTATGTATTTTTGTCGCCGTTTTTATTAATTCATATTTGACAGCAATTGTTTAGCAAAACTAGTTAAAATTTTTTCGAAAAATTTATGTTAATTACTTGTTTAAATCAATTTACATAAAGTACTTAACAATTTAATTCAACCTTTTTTTTGTTAACTTTAACGGCATTTCAGCTCCCCCACTGACCTTTATTTAATAATTTATTTCAGTGAATGTATTTTTTTTTATTTTTTGGTAAATTTTATTATAAATTTTGTTTATACAACTCAAAACCGCTACCCCCGGTTGGAAAAATCCCAGTCCAGGCACCCCGACGCACCAGCTCAGTTCATCCATTTCACAGCATTAAGATTAAGTAATATATAACATTTTCATTTGTAGATCGACTTTATCCCGATCGACGAATCCAAAGTAAAAACATGCACCCTGTCAGCCATATCATGAAACAAAATTTGATTCAAAGTTGTCTTCAAGATTACATCGATATATATACGCAAGTCAAAAAACCCTTGCCATCACTCGACGTCACATCTAGCGCATGCACCAAACAACGTAATTACTGCTTATATTACTAATTTTCCCTAAGAAAATTGAGCCTCCGCCACAGGGATCAACCACGGCATCCGCTCAACATGCTTTTGAGGATTCTGTTACTTATTTCTATTTCAGCAGGTGAGCTTCCACCATGGGGTTCACCCATAACAGACGCTTGACATGCTTCAAAAGTTTTTCTAAATGCTTATTCCTCTTTGGCAATCAAGCCTCCACTAACGGGTTTACCTACAATAGACGCTCAACATGCCCCGATGATTTTTTCTGTTCTCCTCCAGACATTTGAACCACCACCATGGGTTTATCCACAACCGACGCTCATCTTGCCCCAGAGATTCTCTTTCACGCTTTTACTTGTTTCCTCCTCAGCAATTAAGCCTCCACCGTGGGGTTCACCCACAGCTCACAGCAGCTGCTCAATACGCCCCGAGGAATCTCTATTCTCTCCTAGACATGTAAACTACCACCATGGGGTTTACCCACTGTAGCCGTTTTCTTCATTGCTAACACTTTTTTCCTCTTTCTCATTTAAGCCTCCACCATGGGGTTCACCCACAGCAAACGTCTGAATTTTCAGAAGAATTCTTTTAATTCCCCCCAGGCATTTGAGCCAAAATTATGGAGTTCACCCACAGCAGCTGCTCATCACGCCCCGAGGAATTTCTATCCTTCTCTTTCGCATTTAAGCCCTCACCATGGGGCTCACCAACAGCAGACGCTCGACATGCCTGTGGGAATATCGTTGTTTCTTCTAATTATCTCTTAAGCAAACGAGCCTCCACCGCGGAATCCATCTTCTCATAACGGACACTTAATCCACCTCTGGGGTTCTCTAATGGATATACGGATTGATCTGAAAAAACATGAATATTTGGTTTAACTATTTAACTTACGTGAGAGATGCGCGGGATCCAAGTCATCATCAAAGTCAAAAAAAAGAAAAAAAAGTTAAAAAAAAATAAAAATAAATAAATTAATCAATCAATTAATAAACTAATAAAATAAATAAATCACATAAAATAAATTAAATATAATAAAAAATAAAATAAAAATATTTACGTCAACCTGAAAAGTCGATCTTTAGCCAAGCAAATTAATTAGACTGTAGTTTTGGTTTCCTGCACCGATGCGCCAACGATACCCAACCGAAACATCCCGATCCGGTGATATGGCTCCCAGATCATATTTATTTAATATTATATATAAATTTTTTTATAATCTGCCAAGTTTACTATAACCTAATAACCTAAACTGTTTTTAATTTGATCATTTATTAATATTTTATATTTTATCATAATAGTTTATATCTTTCAGATATTCTATTAATTAAAGATATTTCCTTTGATTTTAAAGTATCAATTAGATCATCTATAAGAAGAGGAAGCAACATTTTTTTAATTTTAGTTTTATCGCATTTAAATATATGTTTTATGGCTAATTTACTATTACAATATTGACAGGTTGGAATTTCTGTTTTATTTAATATATAATTATGATTAATATATATATATATTATATTGATTAATATATATATATATATATTATATATATATATGTATATATATATATATATGCTGTTAATTACTTAATATATATATCTGTTGTTAATTGATGTCCAACTTATATTTTCAATTGAAGGGTTATATATGTTGAAGCTGAGTTTTTGATTTATTTTATTCCAATTAGTTTGCCATAACGACATCACATGTTTTGCTATGTGTGATTTTAAGAAGTCAGAAGAGAATTGCTATATTTGTATTTGGATTTTGATGTGATTTCAATGCTAATACATCCATCCCTTCGTTGCTTACTATTCCTATTTGACTTGGAATCCATATTATTTGAATGTTGTATTTATCTTGTATTAAATTGTGTATTTTAATTTTAATACTTTTTATTAAATCATTATTTATTTCAATTTGTTTGAGAGCCATAACAGCTGATAAGGAATCTGACATAATAATAAAGTATTTGTTGTTTTTTTCTTTCAAGTTGTCTAAAGCTACATCTATTGCTTTTAGTTCTGCTATGAAGATAGATGTATTATTTGGCATTTGTTGTAATTGTTGATTGCCTATAATAGCTGCAGCAATTGTAGATTCATTTATTTTGGATCCATCAATATATATAATTGTATGAGTTTTATATTGAATGAGAAGTTCATTAATTATTGATTTGATTATATTTATATCTGTTGTTTTATTGCATTTAGTGCAGTAGGTACCTATTTATTATGGGTTGATTTAACCTTCAATCAATCAATCAACCAATCAACCAATCAATCAATCAATCAATCAATCAATCAATCAATCAATCTTTGCTTAGCGTCCAGAAACCCAGTCTCCCCGAGGTAGGACGTTGTTTTCTTTGACATCAATCTTTTTGCGCCAAATTAGACGATCAGTTGTATCCATTTCATTTAAATTTAGAGCTTTCATGTCTTGCTCGATTGTTTGCGACCAGGACTTTTTTGGACGGCCTTTGGGACGTGTGCCAGGTACTTTAACATCTGCAAGAGAAGTTATGGCACTGTTTCCACTTCGTTTGACATGACCAAACCACCGCAGACGGTGTTGCCGGCATTCGTCCTTTATATCATCTAAACCAGCACGACGCAGGATTTCGGTAGTTTTGATAAAGTCTTTCAGATTAATTCGTTGCATCCATCGGAGCATTTTTATATCGGTTCTTTGAAGTTGTTGTTCCAGTTTGGTTGTCATTGGCCATGTTTCTCCACCATATAACAACACCGGACGTATCACAGATTTATAAAGTCTTGATCGTAGTGGTAGTGGGATGTCACGCCGGAGATGCAAGGCGAGGAGATGCCATTTATTCCAGGCTGCACGTATGCTTGCTCGAAGGCAGCTTCAGCTGTTCCAGTACAATGTAGATCATCCCCTAGATATTGAAACGATGTGACTTTCTCTACCTTAATGGCGTCAAAAACATTGCTATTTCGAATTTGTTGCTGTGGATTGATGCAAGTAGGACAAATTAAATTGGACACTTTAGATAAAGTACCAGTAAGTACCAGCTGCTGACACTTGATTGAATTGTTACCCACAATAGCTTTACAAACTGAACAGGGCCATCGTCCAGTAGCTGTGGATTGGATGGGTTCACCAGTGTTCATTGCTTTGGTTTTGCTGATGTTGACTTTGAATCTATGATCGGCGAGTCTGGTGTTCCAATCTTCAAACATCTGTGCTGCATTCTGCTCAGAAGTGATTTAATCTTCAAGGGGGAATAATATCTATAGTTCTATTTAATATATTATTATAAAATAAACTATTTAATATTCGGAGACTAAACGGTTTGATTGCTTTAGGTTTTTTGTCGTATATGTTTTTGTACATTGATGGGAGGATATTTTGAAAAAATACAAACTTGAAAATTAGCAAACTAATTCTTGTTTAATTGCTTTATTTGCTATTTCCAATTCTTTTAAAATTTCTTTTTTAAGTTTAAAATTTTGTTCTTATTATTTTTTGTCTATATCAACGATTTTGTTTTCTAGCATTTTTTCTTGATTTTTGTTTTAATTTTCACTTCAATACTATCATCTGCCCGAATCTGGTCGGTCAGCAATATCTCATCATTTTCGGGACAACATTTTCAAGTCCTTTATTTTCAAATTTTGATGCTACATCTGTCATTATGTCTTTTATTTTACCTGCAGTTAGTTTGTTGTTATTTAAAACGATTATTCTCATATTACTTAGCTTTTTAAAACTCATATTTGGAAAAACATTGAGATTTTTACATCTCCAGATTTTGTAAGTGTCTTGAGTTACAGTTTCTTTTTTTACTACGTTTGCTAATTTGAATGATATAATGATCATAACTTGTTTGCAATCTTCTTTCGTCTAATTTTATCTCACTGTTCTCAATTTTTTATGATATGTTTGATGAATTTATCTTTTCTTTGAAAAAATCTTTAGGTTTCTTACATTGTGTATCGGTTTCAATAGAATTTGAAATTACTTTGAAATTGTAACTGTAGATTGTAGACTGTAAATTTCAATGACTACAGTTATAAATTTTTTAAAGGCAACCACATGGAAGTCTCCATGTTGTCCCTTACTCTTAATATCAATTTGATGACATCATTCTTCTGGGCATTTATTTTTCTACTAGATTTTTTTATTTATACTCTATCTTTTTCTGGGAAATCATTATTTAATAATAATTTTTTGAATTCAGGTAGTTTATTCATATTGATACAATTTTCCATCACTAAATTTTTAATGGAATAATTGGTAAGTTTTATTAATACGGGTCTGGGTTTTTGTCGTCCTTCATCAAATTTTTCTCAAGTCTTATAACATCTGCAATTTGTTCATATCATGGACTGTGACTGTTGTCATGATTATATCTTTATCTTAAAGTTTATTTGGTTCATTTTCTAATAAATCGTATATTTCAACAGTGTTTTTCTTTCATGTCTGTCATTTGTCACATCAATCTTATTTTGTGTATCTAACACTGAGTTTTAAATTTTGTTAACACACTTCAACTTTGTTTTTGTACAAATTTGGCCATGACCTTACAATTATTATTATTATTATTATTATTATTATTATTGTTGTTGTTGTTGTTGTTGTTATTGTTATTGTTTTTGTTAGTAACCTGTTGATATTATTTTAAAATGATTTATATAATGATTGTTAACTAACACGTTAGCAACAAATGCCGATAATTCTGTTAGTTTCATTGATAAATAATCAAACTCATGTTAAAAATCATTTGTGCTATCTGACAATAATGGTGTGAGCATTAAATGTTAATCGCAACTCTTAAATTTGAGATGGCTGAAAAACTGCCTAAATAATCAATTTTTAAAACATCGCTTGTGTATAAACAAAATTTATATAGATTTAATTTAGCGTTAAGTTTTTGTTTAGACGAAGCATGTTTTATGAACCGTACCAATCTTCTCGACTTGAATATTTGCAATGAGTAAATCAATAGTTTCTTGAAGTCAATTTTCTATAAAATAAAACAGTTGGACTAATTTATTCTAAATAAATAAAAATCATTATAGTTTATTTATTGGAATTAATATTTTAGCACTTGCTACAATATGTAAAGTAAAAGTTTTATTGTGTACATTCATAAAACTTCCAGGCTTATAAAAATTGGGGTAACATTATAAAGTTGGAAGTAGAAACGTGATAAAAATATAAAGTGAAGTGATTGCTATTTTAGAAAATAAAATATTTTATTTTAACGAAACAACTTGTTGAAAATTTTTGAAAATCTAACTTTTTTTTAAATCTGTGGAGCAGTTGATTACTTTAATGGTTATGGATAAAACGACAAGAAAATAAATATGTTTCATCCTGCTTGCATTGATAGATCCTCAAGAGCTTTATTCTTCAAAAACACTTCATCACGAATAATTCTAAATTTAATAAAATTTAAAACAGAAGATTTATATTACAGTTTCAAATTTTAATATCAATAAACAGGGCTGTTGGCATCAAAGCCATTGTATTAAAATTTTTGTCAATAAACGAATTACACGAACAACAAAACCTCATCCTTCGTCCTTATAAATAATTGCAATACTAAACCAGAATCGATAATGAAGAGCAGTCATCTTGTATATTCTTTTGATTGTAAAATCGTTGACAGTAGGCACCGAAACACATAATATATCGGATTTACTACTACGACTTTGTCAAGAAGGTTAACAATGCATACGCAAAATGGTGCAATAAAAAATCATCTAATGGATTCACACCAAATAAAAATAACAAGGGAAATATTAAACTCAAATACCAAAGCGTTATATTATAGCCATATTATAAGTAATTTGAGGATGGCAGAGGCTTTATTAATAGAAAATAGAAACCCTGTAATAAACATCCAACCACAGGCTGTAGCTACATACCAACAAAGAAATTACTCACACGAAGAAACAATGGAACTTAGAGTTCCTCTTTTAAAAATACTATAAATACCAGATGAATTATACATATAACAATATCACAAGCTCTATTACACAGATGTTAAAGGTTACCGAAAAAAGCTATTATGTAAATGTACATATGACAAATGCAATCTAAAATAATTAGAAATTCTATTATTAATTTGAATAAATTGAATAATATTGAAAAAATAATTGTTCGAAAAAATGAAAAACTCAGTTTCAAACTCAACAATGCTGAAAATGCGGTAACATTTCTTAATAACTATAAATATATAAATATATATATATATGCTGGTAGAATAATAATAAAATAATATATATTTTAAAAAATATATTATATAATATAATTAATGTCTTATGGAATTTCAGGAAATTTACTCTCCTGGTTGAAAGACTTTTTATATGAACGTTCTCAGCTTGTTCGGGTTCATGGTAAGTTGTCATCGTCTGTGTCAGTTACTAGTGGTGTTGCACAGGGTAGCGTCCTGGGACCCACCTTATTTTTAATTTATATAAACGACATAGTTGAGTGTATTTCATCTAAACCGGTTTCAATTTTGCTCTTTGCTGACGACATCAAGTTATACTGCTGCTCATCCGATTCAACTCAACTTCAACAAGTAATCAACGATGTAGTTGATTGGAGTATCAAATGGCAGTTACCCCTTTCTCCGGGAAAATGTTATTATTGTTCATTTTCTCATTCATCTAGATCTATTAATGTTCCTCATCAGTATTTTATTGGTCAACACGTTTTAAAACCAGCATGTTACTTCAAGGATCTAGGTGTTACAGTTGACAAGCAAACTAATTTTAATTTACATATCGACGATATAACTCACAAAGCTTCCTCACGTGGACGTTTAATAATCAGATGTTTTACTTCTAAAGCTCAAAACCTACTCATCAAAGCATTTTGCACATATGTACGTCCTCAGTTGGAGTACTGTTCCTCTGTGGAACCCCCATTATAAGTACCAAGTGAGAAAAATCGAAAACGTCCAGAGAAGGTTCACGAAATCAATTCCTTCCTTACACCATCTACCGTATTTATCTCGACTACAAGCAGTTAAAATGCAAACTCTGGAACACCGCAGATTAATTTATGACTTATGCTTTTTATACAAAATTCTTAACAAAAATATCCAAACTGATCTGATTGAGAAATTCATCCCGGTTTCGTATGTGTCGACTCGTGGGCATCAGAATAAGTTGCGTGAATTAAACACTAACGACAACGTGTCCAAATACTTCTTCTGCAACAGAATCATACGTATATGGAATGCGTTGCCAAAAGAAGTGGTGTCCTCAACATCTCATGCCATCTTCAAGAATCGCTTACTGGCTGTTGACTTGTCCAAATATTTACTAATCAAACAACTATAACATTAATGTTTGTTGTCATAATTATTGTGCTCTATCATAAAAATGTTAATGTTATTCGTGATTTAATGCCGTTATTAACTTCTCTATATATATGTGCATGTTATGTATATATGTGTATGCGTGTATGTGTATGTATATTTATTTATTTATTTTTTTTTTTATGTTGATGGATAACAATGAACTCGAAAGCGAAATCTGTGTTTACATTTATTAGTTAAGTTCTTTGCCATACTGATTGCTTGTGTGATGATGTTGATTGATGATAGCGACAATAATATTTTTATGTAGATTTATTCTTCACGTTACGTTTAGAGAAATTGTTTTTCTTATTTATCAACTAAGTAAGTGGTCTTTTAGATCCTCTGGTTGTTTGTGAATAAATAAATAAATAATATACATATTAAAATATATTTATAGATATATGCAGTAATTTATGAAATCTACCGAATATCTAGCGGTGGATAATTTTTTATTACATTTTTCAACATTTCTAACCAAATTCTTGTCATCATTACTGACTTAATTAAAGTTAGAATAATATACAGTTTTCCAATTCATTCTCAAGTGTATTGGACCTATTTCGATTCTTCAATCATCTTCAGCACTTGTTGCAGTTTTTTTTTATAAAGATTTTGTATAACCCAGGCCTTTGTTTCAATGATTTGCATTTATTTTTTTTATAAAGTTGTTAAAATTTTTTACTAGAATTTCATACACCTTTTTCAAATTTATTTGTATATATATTTTTAATAATATGAAAATTATAACAATTCTAAATCAATAATGCACTGACGATCACAGTTTAACGTACAAACAGATATATCAGCAATAATTTTGAAAAAATGTTTGTTTATATAATGGATTGAAACAGCATAAAACATTAACACGTAGTTTAACGAACAAACCAATAAAAATTAGTTATTGTCAAAGTATACAAAAACTGAAATTCAATGATATTATGATGAACGTGTCTACATACAAACACGAGCTTACACATGTTTACGTATAGACACATATTTATACACACATTCATAGACGCACACATGGAGTACATCGTCGAATCGACAAATTGGGTCATCGGTGAGTCCTAGAATGAGCGAAAAGTCCTATCCTTGACTAACTTTTCCGTGCACAAGTTCCACAAATCCATACGCCTGTACTTTTTTCAGCGTGAGCAGCTGTGCGTGCCAGTTCAAAAGCTGAAACTGCCGACTGGGTAAACCTCCATTCCGAGCGTCGCAGAGCATCAACACAAGGAGCCTTGGGGTCTAGACCACATTTTTTTATATTTTCTTTATGGCTGTCTTTGTATCTGCGTACAGGGCCACTTGCCAGTCTATTTCCCGACGCTAGCTGACCAAAAAAAACCTGCTTGGGGATTTTTGTATCTGGCATACGCATAACGTGCCCTTTCGAGCGAAACTGAGCCTGAAGCAGCATCGATTCCACACCCATCATACCGCACTTTGCCAGAACCACTGTGTTTGGGATCTTGTCTTCCCACCGGATACCTGCAATCATGCGCAGGCATCTCATATGAAACTGGTCGAGCCTACGAATGTGGCGACGGTAGAACGTCCAGGTTTCGCAACCATAAAGCAGTGAAGGGAGCACAACTGCTCTGTATACCGCAATTTTGGTGGCCAGAGTATTTCCGTGCTCTTTCCAAAGATGTCCGGTCAGCATACCAAAAGCAGCACCTGCTTTTGCAAGCCTTGCTGTAATATCATCATCGATAGTTGCATTATTGGAAATATATCCGCCTAGATCACAAAATCTATCAACAAAATTGAGACGCGAGTCGTCCGCCATCACATGGGCCATTGCCCCCAACGAAACTGTGTAGCTCTGATGCAAGACCTCAGTTTTCTTCAGACTGACTGTAAGTCCAATACTTTTAGCTGTTATATAGAAGCGGTTGAACAGCGTCTGAATCTCGGCCTGTGTGTGTGCAACCAGGGCACAATCATCAGCAAATAATAGGTCCCGAACAACAGAGATCTGTGTCTTGGACTTGGCTTGCAATCGTCTAATATTAAAAATATCCCCATCCATACGATAGCAGATTGGTATCCCCTCACTACCGTGACGAAAAGCAACTCGAAGCATCAATAAAAAGTAGATGTTGAACAGCAATGGAGCCATAACGCATCCTTGCTTGGTTCCGTTTGTAACATCAAAATCTTGTGACCGTTCACCATTTTCAACCACACTCGTGGAAGGAACGAACAACGGCAACAAAAACAGAAGGGCAGCCAATTTTTGACAAGCAGCGCCAGAGTGCTGACCTATCAACCGAATCAAATGCCTTGATCAGGTCAACAAAAATCATATACAGTCCCCGTTGCTGCTCGCGACATTTTTCTTGCAGTTGCCTCGCAGTGAACACCATATCGGTTGAGCTGCGTCCAGCTCTGAATCCACACTGACCCTCCGGAAAGATATCTAGATTGAGGACATGTTTTGCCAGGCGTTCAGCAATTACTCTGTCTAGTATCTTTTCAGGTATGGAGAGCAGAGAGATTCCTCTGTAGTCGTCGCAGTGTGATCGATCACTTTTTCTTTTAAATATGTGAACGATCAGAGCATCTTTGAATTCCTGAGGGACCGACCGCTCTGCCCACATGCGTTCAAAAAGCTCCACCAATCTCTTCCTGAGATGCAGACCACTGTGTCTGAACAGCTCTGCAGGCAACCCATCCAAACCCGGCGCCTTACCAAATGACAACCGAGATATTGCCTGCAAACTTGGGGGAACTTCAAGATCATAATTAGGCTTCCAATCCGGCAGCTCAGACAGGACCAAGTCATCAAAGAAGGTTTTTTGAATTAGCACCCCGCAGAAATGCTCTGCCCAGCGGGCCAAAATGCCAGGCCCATCCTTAATCAACGACGTACCATCACGTGAACGCACTGGTATACCTCCCGAGTCACGTGGACCATATACCATCTTAAAGCTTTTATAAAATAGCTTCAGATCACCACGGTTAGCAGCTACCTGTAATTCATCAGCTCTCGCCGACCACCAGGACTCTTTCATTCTGCGCAGCTCCCTCTGCGAGATACATCGTGCATTTGAGTAGGCTACCTTCTTTGCATCATTGCTTTTGTCGTTTATCCAAGCCAAATGTGTTTTGTGCACCACATCCAGCAATCTACGAGCTTTCGTATCTCGTTCATCGAACCAGTCTCTATGCCCACCCCGGCGGTGACCGAGCACATTTCCTTCAACCTTTTGTATGACCGCTTGAAAATGCGGCCAATCAAGGTCAGTATTCTCAGCCATTTCGGTGCATAATGCGCGGCTGAAAAACTCCTGAGTTGACCTGTCCTCCAGTTTAGCCACTTCCAACCTGTCGGATTTTACCACTCTATGATGCCTCTTGACTGGCTTGACCGTCATAAACATAGACATTTTTACAAGACGATGATCCGACCATACAGTTGTCGTTCGAATCGCTCTTTTGAGGCGAACGTTGCGTAGGTTCCTTTGTCTTGTAGTCGATCAGGTGCCAATGTCCCGATCGTGGGTGCATCCATGTAGTCTTTATCTTGTTTGACTGTTGGAAGACCGTGTTTGTCACAGCCAGCTTTTGAACTGCGCAGAACTCAAGAAGCTTGATTCCATTTGAATTCACTCTTTACCAACCCCATTTCGCCCCAGTACCCCACGCCATATGTCGTGATCTACACCCACTCGTGCGTTGAAGTCACCCAGCACAAACAAATGGTGTTTAAAAAGCGTCGCGTTCACAGCTGGGTTAAGCTGTTCATAGAAACGTTTTTTTCTTCCTTCTATGCTCCCAGTGTGGGCGCATAGCAGTTGATCAACGTAGCAGTATGTCCTCCCTCGAGACTCAGTTGCATCTTCATTAGACGGGGCAATATGCCATGGGGAGTCTGACACACAGACTTGATTAGCTTGCTACGTATTGCAAATCCAACTCCACACGTTCGCGCTTTTCCTGCCGGATGCCCCTGACTGAATCCGGTGTATCCGGCACCTTTTTCTTCAAATTGTGAAGCATCGGATAATCTTGTCTCACTCAGTGCAGCAATATCTATTTTAAAACAAGCCAGCTCACATGCCACGATGGCGGTCCTACGTTCATGTCGATCACTATTCTCCAACAATGTGCGAACGTTCCATGCCGCAAGGTTCAGTATTTTCCTTTTAGATTTATGTATATTTTTGCCGCAGAAAATGGATATCCAGTCAGCCGCGGTCAGCCAACAAGACGATTTTGTTGGGCTAGCTTTTTTTAGGACACATTTTCCAGTCCCTTCTACAGTAGGAAAAAGCAGTGCCTCCCTAAATAGGGCTGCTTTGTCGCCAAGGCATGACCGAACGGCACTGTAGCCTCAGTAACGAGCGACCATCATACCAAGGCCGCCTACGTGCTGAATAGTGGTGGCTAGACACTTCCAGTAGTATCCTCTACCTGTACCCGTCGTCATTCTCCAGACGCTGCAGGGCTTTTATGCTCACAGCATCCACCGAAGACAACCTGCACAATTGAATTAGTTTAAGGTGGAAAGAGTTTTGTGAGAACTAGCCACACCCTCTCTTTCCACAAAGGCCGTTGTCAGCAGGCACAATGAATTGCGACGTGATGACTGACCAGTATGGACGCAGCAGTTTAGTCGAAACTGACACCGAGTTGATGAGCAGAACCTTCCTCATAGCCAACTGCAGGTGCTAGCAATTTTTTGTTTGGGTTTACTCTCATAGCCTTCCCATGAATAGGTGTGGCCGCAAGGCAGCGGATGTTTGAAGTCAGAGTTTTCCTTCTCTTAGGTGGATGGCCAGCTCCACCTGCCCGGAATGTCTGGTTATGGCGCCAGTTACTCGCCTTCGCCCTCTCCTGTTAGTTTAAACAGCTTCGCCACGTGAAGGCCAGGAGTAGGACTTGATTGACCGAGGAGAGATACCTACCGCCAATAGGAGCATTTTTTAGGAGATGAGAGTTCATTTCTCATCCCCACCCCCGGCATAGTCAACCCGTTTGAAGCCAGACGCACACATACACACACATTTATACGTACCTAATCTTATATCAATATATATATATATATATATATATATATATATATATATATATATATATATATATATATAATTGATTGGAAGTTTTAATAAATACGAATTGCAACAGTTACGTGTTGTTGAATGTCTTTTCAAGAAAGTAATAAACGCTAAATGGGCAAAATCATTTAATCAAATTTGTTATATATATATATATATAACCCACATTTATGCATAATAAAAGAGCATACCTAAATAATGATATCATTTTTACAATAGGAGAAAAGTTTTACAACGATGTTTGAAACAACCCAGTTTAGAGAAAGGTGACAGGTTGTAGCAGAATTTTAAAGCAAATTTTAGACCACATAATAAAAATGCTATCATTTAGAATTTTTAATTTGCTAAAGAAATTAATGAAAGGAATAAAATGCCGGGTAAAGTTGAAACTATCCAAAGGTTTATATATTAAAAAAATTTAAAAAGTTAGAAGGCAATCGGTTATTCATAAATTTATACAAAATAATTGAAATATGGTCAGTATATTTAAAGAAAAAAAGTAATCATAAAAATTTAAAAACGCACCCACCAATGCTGACAACATGGCGTGTTTTAAATCTCGGAATTAAGACTTTATTATTTTTTTAACTAATAAATTAAATATATTATATAAATAAATTAAATAAACTTAATATATTAAATTTAAATCAAATAATTATGTTTGATCATAATATTTTTGATTAAATATAAAATTAGAACACATTATTTTTACACGAACGAACATAAATAAAATAATACTTGACTTCAATTGGATAAAATATAATTTTGTGTCAACTTGAACATCATGGTTATTTCGTACACCCATTCACAGTTACTCAGTTTCTACCAACCTAGTAAAGCATCCTTTCCAAGATGTAGGTCGTAATAATCTATTCAGGTGGGATGGTACGAGTATATACGAATAATAGGTTGAAAATCCGTGAGGCCCTGCACATCAACAAATGTAAGCTAACCATGAACAAACAAACCAATAGATTCGACCACACTTTCCAGCTATTCTCCCAATATAGTGATTTGACGCCGACGTTCCCCGTTAGAAACGATCCACAGCAGATGACGGTACCACAACGATACGAATATCGTTCCACAATCGACAAACTCCAACCTGCCAATACGCAGTTTGTCACTAATCGTCGTAAATCCTACGTCGTCGCGTCACTCACTACCTTATGTGATAATTAATATCCATGCCTTGCTTCATTTACAATCGATAATTAACATCACTTACATTTCTATTTCACCTATTCACACATTAGCATAATATATTTATTCATATACACTCGTACCATCCCACCACTCACAAACGTTTCGTTGTCATTCCAAATTTGCAATATCGATATTCGTACTCCTACTTTCACTTTCAGTATTTAACTTTTGAAATTCATTTCACTTATTTTGTATATTGTTATCTTAACATTTAATTTATTTTATTGGCAAGTTAAGTACCCTTACTCAAATTTCGTATACTTTTTACATTAATTTTAATTTAATTTCCTTAATCATTTTACGCTTATATTTTCCAAATTTGGTTCGTTTATTCTTCTTGATTTTACAATTTTAAATATTCAATTCATATTTAATAATTTAAACGTAGGCTCTGATGATGACATACACTGTCGAAACGACGTCGACAGCCGTTCGAAATGCTTGACGAGTTTAATAAAATTGAGTTACAACAATTGCGTCTTATTGAACAAACCTAAAAGAAATTAATACAAAATGGGCAAGAACATTCAACCAAATATATATATATATATATACATATATATGTGTGTGTGAGTGTATGTGTGTGTTTCTCTGTGTGTGTGTGTGTGTGTGTGTGTGTGTACAGTACATGTATTCTGTGTAAACGTTAACAAACTTTTCTGTATGGGGTCATCCATAAAAAACGTCCACACTAGGAGGGGGAGGGAGGTTTAGCTAAAAGTGGACAAGGAGGGAGGGGGGGGGGGTAAATGCCAAAGTGGATGTCCACCAGTATAGATAGTTTTAAGCTATAAATATGGTGTTTCTCATTACATAGACCTTACAATGTTATGAAAATGATAATTCTTCCATATTTAATTTAAATAACAAAACAAATGACATATTAACTGTCTAAACGACAGTGGACACTGGACAGTCTTGATGTTAGTCTTATAATTAAAAAAATATATAATCTATTTTTATGTTTTCTTCAACTCACCGTTATCTACCTACATAAACCGTTCTCTCTAACATCCAAAAGAAATGTCATCTAGAATGCCAGTCAATGAAACACTTTTATATAGCGCTTTTTCATATATTCAAACTTCTTCTTCATTATCTTTAAGTACTAAAAGTCCCTGATGGTTTAGTTTTCTATCGTGAACCTAATAGATTTTAGTAATTTAACAAGAATATGGTCAATAATTCAAAATATTTAAAAACTGAATTTCACTTTTTATTACTTTATATATTACCAATGATTTTAGTAGTTGTTTAAAAAAACATTTAAAATTTTATTTCCAAATAGATTATTTCGTATATTAAGTTTTTAGTGATCATAAAAAACTTTCAGTCACCAGTTTTTATTGAACTGGCGTTCTATTGCGATGACTTTCCATAAAAAGCGGACAAGCAGAAACTATTTTGTGTAGTTTTTTGAATTTGAACAATTTTGAATATTTGCAAACTATATTTTTAAATAATGGAGAAATTGTATTTAGAATTTAAAGATAATTATATTGCCGCTAATCCTAATATAAAAAAAGAATTAGCTTTTAAAAATTTACAAAAACTTTGGAATGAGTGTAAAAGTAATCTTGATGAGATCAAGAGCAATATCATCAAATTCAAGGCTATCACAGCTAGTAGACGTGGAAAAATGATGTCCATGTGGAGCAAAGCTGCAGCAACTAAAAGCTCGAGAGATTCGGCTACCACGTCTAGCGACTCACAACCTCCTGACGTTATTGTGATACCAATGAAGTTATCAGTAGATACAAAAAAGTAAGTCCAATATTTAAAAAAGTTTTAAAAACTTCACATTTTTGTTATTATATAATTTATTATATTAGTTTTTTTTATACATAAATTAATAAAAACATGTTTGAATTTAACACAATTTTTAATTTTTATGTGATGAAATAAACAGTAGTTCTCTATAATGACATTTTTATATTTCATAAAAAATGCAGCATTAATTTGTAATGTGTAACTTTTTATACTATTACTTAGTACATTGTGAGATAACATGTAAAATTAAATTTGATTTTCTTTAGAATTGACAAACGTTCTTTGTTTTCTCTTCAGTGTCAAAGATGATACAGAGGTCCAAAAGCACATCGAGTCGTCTAACATAAAGCCAGTGCAACAAGAAATAGATGAAGGAAATTTTTCTAAAGTGGAAAAAATAAACCAGCAGAGCAGAAAGCACAAGAAGAGTTAAATCTTATCAATTCAAAACAAACTAGCTTACTAGCTATTCGAAAAACTGGTCTCTGGACAGATGAAATGAAAAAAAATGCAGAGGAACTTGAAGTACAGAAGAAAAAACTAAAGCAGAAGTTGAATCGACTTAAATTTGATCGAAATCGTAAACGTTTGGCACGAGCAGTATTAAAAAGTGTATTAGAAAGTGTAATCACAGAAAATCCAGATGTGGCAAAAAAGCTAAAAAAATTTAAAAGAAAAACATTAGGACGACCAAGCATTGAGACTGATCAATCTGACTTGTTAAAATCAATAATTGATATTGTAACAGCCAGTGGAGCCGCTGATGATCGTCGACGTACTGAATTGATTCGCTCATGCAAGACTCTGGATGATCTTCATTCGGAACTAACGAATTTGGGTTATAATCTGAGTCGATCTGCAATATACATCCGTCTTCTGCCACGCAACTATCTGACTACTGAGGGCAAGTGGCATATATCTACTGTCCCTGTAAAACTTATAAAAGCTGCTAACAGCTTGCGTAAAGAGCACCCGGATGCTCATTTTGCAGCATCGACCATATCTTATTTGAAAGATTTGGCGGTATTGATGGGAAGCCATTGCACATTCTTTCTCAGCCAAGATGACAAAGCTAGAGTGCCCTTGGGTCTTCCAGCTGCCTCAAAGCAGGCACCAATTTTAATGCATTTACAGTTGCCTGACCATGACTAGGTTGTGGCAGATAGACATAAACTAATACCTTCTGTCTACGCTGGATGCGTTATCAAAGATGGTCGTGCCACTTATTCTGGACCTACAATGATATCCATAAGGAGTAGTAAACATGACAAAAGCAGTGCTGCCACTCATGTTGCAGACTTTAACACGTTAGTTAGGCTGGACACTTTCAAGGATGTAGCATGTACTAATGCTGGCGTACTGAAGTTTATAGTTATTATAACTGTTGATGGAGGCCCAGATGAAAATCCACGCTATCCAAAAACATTGTGCGCTGCTTATTAACTATTTACAGAACATGATGTTGATGCATTATTCATTGCCAGCCATGCACCAGGTCACAGTGCATATAATGCAGTAGAGCGACGCATGGCTCCACTATCTCACGATTTGTCTGGCCTCATTCTTCCCTATGACTATTTTGGATCTCATTTGGACACTAATAGTAAAACAATAGATCCGGAACTGAAAAAGGTTAATTTTAAAAAATCGGATTTTCAATATTAAGTTGTTAGAATATTATGTTTTAAAATAAATTTTTTAATATTTTTGATTCTTTATACATTTAATTTTTTATATCTTTGTTTATTGTTTAGAAAAAAAACACAAAATTATAACAAATATTTTAATATTAAACTTTGTCAGTTTTTGATGAATAAAAAACACTAATTGTGGACGTCCACAACGGGGGGAGGGGGGTTCATCAAAATGTGGACAAAGTTAGACAAGGGAGGAGGGGGGGGGGTAAAAATTTGCCAAAAAATTGTGGACGTCTTTTATGGATGAACCCTATGTGCATTATTATTCACATGTTTATAAAAATAACAGATTGGAAAATTTTGTTAACAATATTTCTAAAACTCTTAAAATTTTATAGCACTTTTAATAATATTGAAAACAATGAAAATAAGCTTTTGTTTGAACAGTGAGAAATTGAATCACAAATTTAAACATGCCGTTAAAAAAGCTTCTTTCATAAAAAAATTGTGATCTTTAAATATACATTTTTATATATTCCTACAAAACGGTGGCGAACAACATGAAAATAAAGAAAATACAGAACGAACAGATATTTACCAAAATGATTAGTGATCACATGTTTTTGTTGTAGTTAATGATGGTAATAAATCTCTTCATACATTTGCTATTTTGTCGCATGTTTCTCTGCCTCTTGTCATATTGAAATATCCTGTCAGCATGTGGTCTCCAGAGATGGGCTACCAGAACATTTTTGAAGATCAAAATTTTTTTGGCAATATCTTTTATACATTTTGTCTTTCTTTCTCTTTTTTCCTCTCTCTCTCTCTTTAACTCAGAGTTATCTCTAGGACTGCAGTTGTTTTTCAGTATTAGGTGAGACGTCTTTTTATTGTTGTAATAAATTCGGAGTTTAATTATACATAAATTCGGAGTTTAACTATACGTAACCAACCCTATTTGGGTTGGTTGGTGTGACATTTTTATTGATGATATGCTTAAGAATAGCTTCATCTACCTTGTATGCTGTTGACATGTGTTGGTGTGACATTTTTATTGATGATATGCTTAAGAATAGCTTCATCTACCTTGTATGCTGTTGACATTTTTATACAACAAAAAATGACAACCTCACTTCCAACCCGGCGCTTAACCAACAACGAAAACAAAGAAGTAATAAAAACTAGCACCGTAAATAGTGACAAAGAAGAATATGATGCTATCGATGAAGAAAAGGAGACCAAAGAAGATGACCAGCCAATTAAGAAACCTGACACCTAATTCGCATCAAAGTTCAATTTTACAACACCAAAGTTAATTTTTACAACGTCAAAGTTAATCTTGACAAAGTCAATATTTCCCTATATATACAACAAGGAGCACTGACGATGATTCATTCGGAATCGAAATATGGCCTTATTTGCAGCATGAATTCGAAAAATAAGTTTATTTTGAATTTTAATAAACTAAACGTTCACCAAAAAAACTTTAGTGAGAAAAATCGAAAAAACGAACTACAAACATATTAACGCCAAACATTCGGTAGAATTTATAGAATATTGTAAAAATTATGGTCTATTACCAACATATATATATATATATATATAAAGCAAGTGACATTGTTAGCTTTACTTGATATGAGTGCTGCCTTTGATTGTGTGGATCACAATATACTTGTTCAAAGAATGTCAGCAAGCTATGGTATTTCAGGCACTGTGCTAAGATTTTTTAAGTCAGATCACAGATCACAGCGGATATTATTTGGTAATGAATATTCGGATGAAGAAAAAATGTCCCTCAGGGATCGGTGTTGGGGCCATTTCTCTTCTTGTTGTATACTGCTGATGTATTTGACATGATGGAGAATTATAAGATGGAGTGTTATGCGTATGCAGATGATATTCAATTAGTGTCATGTGCTCCTGTTGAAAAGTTTGATGATTTAGCTGAAGGACTGAAAGATGCGTTGGCTGCAGTAAATATTTGGATGTCACAAAATGGAATAAAATTGAACAAAGATAAAACCAAGTTAGTGCCAATTGGTACATGGCAGCAGACATCAAAAATACATCGAGATGCATTAGAAATGGATGATGCCATTGTTAAATTTGAAAGATCATCCACAATTCTGAGCTTCACACTTGATGCTAATCTGACCATGCAGGATCATATACGGGGTGTCGTAAAGTCATGTTGTTTTCATCTACGTCAGTTGCAGCGCATTAAGAGATTTGTCAGCAGGCCCGCTTTGATGGCATTAGTTCATTCATTTGTCCACTCACGTTTGGACTACTGCAACAGCCTACTGTATGGTGTTTCAGCGAATGAAATTGCACTGTTGCAATCTTTACAGAATAGGGCAGCTAAAGTAGTAATGGGTGGACGAAAGTATGATCACGTGACACCATTGATTAAGGATTTGCATTGATTGGTAATTGAAAAGAGGATTGTTTTTAAAATTTGCTTATTAATGTTCAAGTGTTTAAATGGTTTGGCACCACGATATCTGACAGAGATGTTTACACTGCTCAGAATTTTGTCTTGAGATCAAACGATCAGAATTACTTGACAGATCGGGTGTCAAAACTGAAAATTGGGTCTCGTAACTTTGCTGTATGTGGTACGAAAATATGGAACAGTCTTCCATGCGTCATTCGTCGACCAGGGATGTCACTGTTGCAGTTTAAGAGAGAATTGAAAACACATCTGTTTTGAAGATTAATTGAAGTTGTGAATAGTATGTTGTATGTTGCTTTTGTTGTTTATGAAAGTAGCTTATCGATAACGGAACATTCATTTGTTTTATGCTGTTTTTTTTTATTTACGTTTTAATTATATAATTGAGTTGTCGAGTACGTAATGTATGTGGGTGTTTTATGATGGGATGTGCTTACGTTGAATGTGTTTCGTGTGTTTCTAATAATTTGAATCGATTTATAATTATTGTGCTGGTGGTTGGGTATTTATCTGTTGGTTGTTCTGAATTATATGTTATCGTGCATCTTCTGAGCGTAATTGTGTGTGATCGGTGTGGATAAAGTGTGGATGAATGTATCTATGATTTGGTTTAAAATGGTTGCTGTTTGGTTCTTATATGGTTGTTAAATTACTTTGAGTGATTGGGTATGGTCGAGAGTATATGTGTGCATCTGTGCATGAATTTAAATGATTTATCTGTTTTGTTTTAGTTCTTTTTATAATGTATACTTATGTTTATTTTCGAAATATTTATGTTTTTGTTTGATCACTTAAATGGACAAAAATAGCGGCACCAAATATCAGAATATATCGGACATGCTACATTGACACGAAGATTAACTATGCATACAAAAAGAGGCGCAATAAAAAAAATCATTTAATCTACAATCACGAAACAGAAATTACAACAATGATACTCAACATTAACACAAAGATACTGTTACTTTACTGCCGACAAAGAAACTACTAAGAAAAAGAAACAATGGATCAACGCAAAGGGAGTTATTGGAACTAATAAAATAGAAACTTAGTCCATTTTTGAAGCCAATAAAGTTGGAACACACATATATAAATATATTGTGGCGAAACTTGACCAAACTATCGGGGGGGGGGGCAAATAAAATACTTATGCATCAGCATAAGACACTACTCAACAAGCACTCGTTCGAAAACAAGATAAGTTAATTTTTCAGAACAGGTATTATTTCGAACAATAGTAGATTTTCAGCTTTTACAAAAATGTTGTGAAAGTCATTATTGCCATTTTGTTGATAATTTTTTAAAATTAACGCCATGTCAGAAACTTGTTCAATACACTGAAGAGAATCTATATGCTGATTCTAAAGAGCTTTTGAAATAGGTAAAATTAGCGTACAAAAACGAGCGACCAAAAGCTGTTCTGCTTTACAGGCAGCATTTGCATCACTCCAATTTTTTATTTCTTCCAATATATTTCGGATATAATTCAACAAATTTTATTGTGGCTTCATGACGTGTCATGATGATTCACAAATAAAGTTAATTGCCTGCTTGATTGTGTTTAAACAATTTGTGATTTCTTGAATTTTGGATGCATGTGCTATTACTAGATTTAGAATATGGGATGCACAATGTGTGTACAGAGCTTTTGGATACATGTTTCTTACATGGGCTTTTCTTACACTCCATTTATTTTTCCTGCCATTGAACCACATCCGTCATATCCTTGACCTTTCATCTTTTCAATATCAATCCCTGCTTATTTCAATGTTTTAATCAAAATCTTGGCAATGCCTTCACCTGTGGTATTTTGAACTTTTTGAAAACTAATAAAGCATTTATGAATGCAGTAATCTTTAAAAAATCTTACCATCTGTTCTTCAATAGAAAAATCAGTTGTTCCATTACAGAGCATTGAAAAGAATTCATTAGCATTTATTCATCAGTTAATTTATAAAATCTACAGAATAGTTTTTAATTTCATTTCTCAATATTTCTAAACAAATTCTTGTTGCCGTTATTTATTTTATTAAAGTTAGGAGAATATACAGTTTGCCAATTCATTCTCGAGTGTATAGGACCTATTTCGATTTTTCTATCATCTTCATCACTTGTTGCAGTTTATATAGATAATATATCTAAAAATTGCAGAAGCTGTCTTAATAACTGATATCAATAAACTACTTCGTTTGATATCAACATCCCATTTACAACCTGAGGTAACCAGACTTCCGAGATAATTGAAGCTGTTGACTTGTTTCATCTGTTTACTATTAATGATTATGGAGCAGATCGGGAGGTTTTGTTTTTACTGATAACTAGGCACTGTTTTGTTGGTGTTAATTTGCAAGCCTTTCCTTTCACTTTCAAAAACCAGTTTGGAAACAATTGTTTGCAATTTTTCCATTAAATTTGCTATAGGAGCTGTATCATCACCATATTTTACATTGATAATATTCACGCCTCCAGAGGATATTCCGGGTAAATTTTTCATCTTTATCATGATGATCTCACTATAGAGATTGTACAGGTCTGAAGAAAATACACAGCCTTGATTAACACCTTTTTTTTTATTTCGACAAAACTAGTAAACTTGTTACCAACTTTCATCGCTGCTCTTTGTTATCAATAGAGGTTTTTGATAACTCACATGTCTTTACCATCAATGTCAAGTTTTTCAATGGTTCCATTAGCTCCACGTGTTTCACGCTATCAAAAGCTTGGAGCAATCGACAAAACATATAAACAAGTCTTTCTTCGTTTCAATCGCTCGTTCACTGATCATTCGCTGCATAAAGAGCGTTTATTGTGCCACAATCCTCTAAAAAAACCACATTGGACTATTGAAATTTCAGATCTGATTTTGCTTTGTGTTCTCATCATCATAATTCTCAAGAGAAGTTTTATAAGATGACTCTTCAAGATGACTCTGATTGTTCGCTGTAATTCACATTCCGTTGTGTTAGGTTTTTAGGCAATGAAATAATTATTGACTTGGATAGACCTTCAGGAATTTAGCCGCTGTTATAAATCTCATTCAAAATTTCTGTCACTTTTTCAATGCCAAATTAATCAAAATATTTAATTTCTTCAACAATTATCTCATCTGGTCTTAGCGCTTTATTTGATTCGTTTTTGAAAGAGCGGCACGAACTTCAGATTTAAGGGTTTAAATGTTTCATATTTAGATTTATTTACGTCTTTCATCAATAACTGAAAATGATTCCGTATTTCAACATTACATTTGACCTTGATCTCATCATCTTGTGACAGACTGTCAAAATTCAAACGTTTTGTGGCCACTTCATTCTTGATTTTCTTTAACTTTATCCTGATTTTACAAACAACTGGATTATGATCACTGCTACAATCAGCTCCAGGGTAACTTTTGCATTGTTAAACAACATTTCGAAATTGTCTATTTATTGTGATGTAATCAATCATATTTCTTAACTTGTCTCCGAGACTCATCCAAGTATATTATCTTTTTGGGTGATTGTCAAACCAACTGTTAGTAATAATTTGATCATTTGTAACGCACCATTTAATCAACTGTTCTCTTCTTTCACTTATCCCACAAGGACCAATCACGTCATGTATTTTTTCTGAGTCAACTTTTGCATTCAAGTCACCCATCAAAATAACAATTTTTTGAGATTTACATGTTTTTAAAGCGTCATCAAGATCACCGTAGAATGCATCAAAACCTTCTTCACTGCTTTCAGACGTTGGCGCATAAATTTGAATAACAGCTAGATTGAAAGGTTTTGCGTGTATTTTCACCAACAAAACTTTATCTGACACTGCCCAGAAGCCGCCTAAATTTCTTTGTTCAATAGTACACCTACTCGGTTTTTTTTGAATCACTTCCATAGTAAATAGATTTGCCTTTTTCAAAGGTAATTACATCTGATTTCTTCCACCAAGTT